TCATCTGGTTTTACATGAACATTTTTGCTCTGTTGAGCTTTAGCTGTTTCAGAGTAAAGAATTACTGCGTAGTGCACTTATATCAATTAATAGACATTGAAATATTTTACTGCCTAACTAATAAAGACTATACTTAACTAACTAAATGAATAAAATAAAGTTACTGAAGCACTAAGATCACCATCACTAGTATAACATCATAGAAACAGCCCAGCAGTAGAGAAACCCCGTCATGCTGCTCAACAGCCAGCTAAATTGTTAAATGGCCTACTCATAACTATGCTGTGTTGAGAGTTAGCAAGCACAACGAAAATAAACTATCAACCAAACGTGATTCATATCTGACCCAGGTAGACTGCTGTTCATCACTTCTTACCTGAAGTTCAAATTCCCCTCCAGTCGCACCAACTGTGCCGTCGTCATATAATGCGGCAGCCGCAGGTCTCCTCCTCCTGCCTCCCCTTTGCCTCATCCACCTGCTGACGGCCACCTCCGCCATCATTACCTGCTGCGGCTGCTTTGGATGCCAGTGCGGGTGCGGTCACTGATGCTGCTGCTGAAGAAGCTCCGCCATAGCCAGCAAACATCTGTGTTATTTAAACACATTTGGCAGCATCTTCCTAAAGGGCTTGACTCTTTTTCTCTCTTATTTTTTCCGCACCTCCTTTGAGTTTCTTCTCAATTTTGTCAATCTCCTCTCTCTCTGTATGATTGATTGACTGGCAGCCGAGGCCCAAGTGGGAGGGGGCATCGGCCCTCGGCTGTAATTGGTCCAGCCCAGAATCAATCATGACTAATGGGCCGATCTACCAGTTTTGTGTACCAATAGGTATCATAACATGACTAAAAGTACCCGGTATGCCCGATGGTATGCCCGGTGGCCAGTCCAGCCCTGGCTGTTTCAATTTAACATTACCCTTTAAAATAGGAATAGCAGTGATGCACCTTCCTTTATCTTCTCCTCCTGCTTGTCTTTGTCTTTACCTCTCACTGCCTCCTTTCTATACTGTTGGTCTCATTATTCACCTCCTCATCCTGCCCCCCATCTGCTGCAACTCTCTGTGTCAAAGCGTCAACATAGTAATCAATATATTATGAATTAGAAAACAGCAGAGGCAGCGCATCCGATGGGTGGCGATCATTACTTGAAAAGGGTTTCAAGACAACATCCATGTAAAAACTGGGGAAAATCACCAAACAGGCAGATGTGAGGAGGCGGAGTGGGTGGAGCTAAAAGACAGAGCGTGATATTAGCTTGAGCAGAAGGCGGTAGCCTGAGCCCTGGCCTTTTAGAGCCCAG